TCTGATGTGAAGGGGGGAATAAGGACTCTGATGTGAAGGGGAACTGAGGACTCTGATGTGAAAGGGGGAATGAAAGGGGGAATGAGGACTCTAATGTGAAGGGGGAATAAGGATGTCAATGTGAAGAGGGACTGAGGACTCTAATGTGAAAAGGGGAATGAGGACTCTGATGTAAAGAATTGGTGCGGAAGGTGTTCTGTTGTGAAAAATGGAGGCTCCGATGGGAAGGAGAAACTTCACGTTATTTTTCTTTTGTTTTTTGCATCGGGTTCCCCCTTAAATTTAATACCCCTATCTAGGATAGGGGTCTGGTTTGGATTTTGGACGGAACCACTCATTATTTTCTATATTTTTACATTTATGTTTTTTACATTTTTGAGTGGGGTGCCTCGAGATTTTGCAGAATTTTAAAGGGAGCTGTGACTGAAACTAGGTTGAGAAATGCTGATGTAGAGTATTTTACTGTCAACCCATGAGTCCTGTACATGACAGGAAGTAAGCTGAATGACACTGGTCTTCCCATACATAAATATTGCGTAGTTCTGGAATTGTTTTCTTTTCAAAATAAGTAACTGCTGAATGCCTTTGGAAACCTAGTGATAAAGATGACAAGTGCTAAACCTCTCCAGTTTGTGCTATTTGTATCACCTTCTGACATTTATAAAGAAAACCCTAATTTTTTTCATTCATTTGGCTCTTAACTCGAGCCGTTTTAATAATTCTATACAGATTTTGTTATTCTCTTCCATACAACCTCACAGTTAGTGCAACTCAGAAGCCACAAGTGTTTGAAGGAGCAAAAGTCAGTGTAATCATATTTGAAAATAGTCTTGCATGCAAAATATCACAAAAAACAATATTATCATATGTATGCATTACATTAAAATGATTTGTGCAGAAAAACCTTTAAAATATAATCATAAATTACACATTCCCATGTGCTATGTTTTATTAAAATGGACCCTTGTATCATACCCAATTCTATATCATATCATAACATAAACTCTGTATTGACTTCATAATAATATTGAAATGCAGTAATCAAATGCAAATTAAGACAAATAGACACACTTAACACAAATTAGGACAAATAAATAAACAGTATATTAGATTTAGAGCTCTAACCATACGCTGTAATTAGAAAATGTAAAAAGCTTTTGCTTAGACTTAATTTATATATGCTTGGGATTAACATGGTACTATACTCAGACAAAAAAAATAAACTAAATTAATAAAGAGAAAAGTAAAAAAAAAAATGGGCAGACTTGATGGACCACTTGGTCTTTTTCTGCCATCACTCTTCCAGGTTTCTAGATTTGAGTTCTTGTTTGAAGTTAGGTAGGCCAAGGTATTTTTGATATGTTCATTAACTAATTATTTCAGGTTACAAATGAGGAAATATGTTAGCTACATGGTACATACCCTTCAAGTAGTACTATAGCATTCTTCCTTGGTCGGCCAATATTTGGTCCATATAAATTTGCTCTGGAGTAGGTCCGGATAGACTGTAGCATGTTCTTCAGCTGAATGTAATCTTTCCCCAGCTGACTGCCATTAATAGCCTTGTTAATCAGTGTTTTGTAATTGTTGGGTTCTGTTAGAAGAACATGATAATGTTATGTCATGTTACATAAATACTTTCTACTAAAATATTACAACTCTGGCTCTGATTGTTTCACAGAGAAATAGACAGCTATATCAACAGTGCAACCTTTAAAAAATGGTTTGTGAAGAGTTATTACTGTGAAATTACCCTGTAAGAAGAAAATTAAAGACAGCATTCTAAAGTGCTGGTCGTTGCTTTTATAACTATTAAGGCGCATTAACTTCTGCGACCAATGATTGTATGAGGTCATGAATGCCTTTGGGTTCTTTTCATTAATTGCGGTTAAAGTTAGCCTTCACGTTGCCCTTTTTTTCCTTCTACATTATAAGGACTTAAGGCAGCTAAACCCAAATCCTTGTTTATATCAGCTGCTGTCATCCATTGCACTGCAACACTCAGACAAGGATAAAGAAGGTCACTAGTCAGGCTATGTTGGATGGAAATTTGCTGAGAAGGAAGAGAGAGCAGAGGGTGCAAAGCTGGTGATTTATTATTGCATTGCTGCTCCCTCGCTCTCTAATTGTAGAGGTGACACCTTTGTATTACATAAGAGAATGCAAATCCTTTTGGAGATAACAGTTTCTACACACGTATTACAAGGGCATATTTATATTTGTATAATGGATTTCAGGTTTACATTTTTGTTCAGCTTTAATATTTTCAAAATATACTTATCCATTCCATTCTGCAGCCATTCTGATTTGGAATATGGCAACCTGGGGTATTTTATACACACTGTACAGTATATGTACAAAACTCCCCCAGAAATCCTATTTCCTGATTGTGTCAACGGCTGACTGCTGTTTCCAAAAGTCTCCACTGACATGCAATAAAATTTGATACATCTCCTGCAACAGGAATATTACGATTCTTCTAAGGTCCATCCATGCCTAAAGGGACACATTTTCTGCAGTTGTTCTTATTAGGATACTGCCTTTGTTCAAATTAGTGTAACGAAGGCTGTCCATCCTATTTAGAAAGGTCATGGTATAGCAAACAGTAATTACCTCTTAAAGTGACACTAAACTCAGGAGTTAAATCTTAGAAATGCATTCAAATACCATAAATATTAAGAGAAATTTATCTTATTTGTATATCACTCGGCTGTAGATCCTCAAATCATCTCTGAATTGGTGCTGACACTGTCCTTCCTTCTGGAGGGGGGCTACTTTTGTTCCCCATGGTCCCTGCGTGTGTTGTAAAGTAGCCACCACTCCAAGCTTGCTCCCGTGATGGACTATAATCTCCCCAAGGGGATGAAGATGGAAAACAAACTGGCAGGGCTTTTAACTAGTTTCCAAAATAAGAAAACATTGACAAGCCTCTTTTTATTACTATGTCTTAGATAACAATCAAGTGACATTTTAGGAGTCAACTGTACAAAAATACAGGACATTCCAAAGAATTCCCAAATGTTTTCTTCCAACGGTATGTGTCCTATGTATGCCATTTCCTAAAAATCCATTATAAGCAGTGTCATTCTAACAAGCAGGTTAATCTGCAGACGAATGTTACCCACTAATATCTGCGCTATATAAAACAAAAGAATGAAACACAAAAAATAACTGTATACATCATAATACATGTCTTTGAGAATCTTCTTCAAAGAACCCTTTAGCAAGGGCAGACAACATACAAATGTGTACAAGATGTATCTCTTGCCTTACTGTGACCCTGAAGATAAACACTGGAACAAATAATGAATGATGACTTCATGAGGAGGTGTCTCTAATCGGCCATTGAACACAACGGTTATTTTTTTTGGTCTGAAGCTCCAATACATCATTCCCTTAGAAGAGATTTAATGGAATGAAGAGCACTTTCTCTTGGTAACCTATCTTGCCCTGATGGTGTGAAGCAAAACAACCTGACAAATGTGAAGGTGATGTTTCAAGGATCTTACCAATTTATATGACACCAAAAAGAACTTGGGAAAAGGAAAGATGAACTGTGGGAAATACTGTTGCTTTATGATATATAAGGATTGGCTGTCTCCAGTGTTTGTGTTACAGCAATCTAGGAAACATGTGGGACTATCATCAAAACTCAAAACAAAGCAAGTAGGATTTAGTTTAACGTTAGGAAAATGCTGCATTACTTAGTATTGGAAAATCTCAGCCTACTCGTGAATTCTGTGATGTATATTGTTGGCTGGGAATGTGTAAAAGATAATGTTAAGTTGTACTATGGTCAAACAAAGTCTTCTGCTTTCCAGTTAAGCCTTCACCTGTACTACCCTTCTACCCACAGGACACTATAGGAAGAAGATTCACCAGCATCAGTCCACCGGTTTACTTTAGCAGAGAATCATTATTAGGGAATAATTGCGAGAGCCCACCCAGGCAATCTCACTACTTATAATAATCTTATTACAGCTTGTGTAAATCTTCTCTTTTAAGGACTTTCCACTGTTTCTATATCTGAACCAAAAGCATTATTATAAAAAAAAAAAACAAGACTAATGCCCATGTTGGTTAGATCAGCCAGTATACTACAGATTATGATTTTATTCCTTTCCTTGTGCAGGATATTAAAAAGCATGGCATCATAGCTGCAATCCATGTCAACCCTCATTGATGCTCATAGGCATGCTTTTAGGGCCCATTCAGACCTGCACTTTAAAGCATACACAGAGATTTTTCTTTGTTTTGCCATCTGCTAGTACATATATGTGGAGAGGCATGACATGCATTAGCCAAAAAAAGGTCATGTCTGTTTTTTTATACATCAATGTGCATTATAAGGGCTTTGGATAGAAATGGCAACACATGCCCTAAGGTGCGTCAAACCATACTTTGCAATGCAACCACAAAGGGGTGGGACGGGACCCAGTCTTACACTGCAATGCATGTTAACATACATTTCTATTGCTTTCAATGTGCCATAGACTGAATTCAGACCTCTCTGTGTCCACTTTCATGTGTTTTACACGCGTTATCAACAATACCATGCATCAACACATCAAAGCACAGACAAGACAGATCAATGCATCATGAACTAGCAATATTTAAAACAATGTTTAGCTTGTGTATAAGCGTTAATTGGCATTAAAAATGTATAGGTTTGAATAGGCCCTCAAAACCGAGAGGTGCAAATCTATTCTTAGGGCCTGTTCACACCTATGCATTACAATGCACAAAAACACATGGCAATGCATCTTCATGCATATTGATACACTTTGAAACACACATTGGCCCTTGTAAAAACACATTAACACATGTAAAAACATAAATCAAGGTACACTACAACACACAATAGGTTTCCTACTTCACCCGATGGTACATCAATGCACCATGAGTTACAGCTCGCGGTATACTGAGACACCGCAGCCGGAGCGGATCCCGACATCGATGTCGAGATCCACCCAGCTGTGTGAGTGACAGCTGGCTCTGCCTATCTAGAAGCAGAGCCAGCTGTAGCCGCCCCCTCCATGTCCGATGCGTCAGTCAGCGCTGGTGGATCGGAGCGGGGAGGGGGGAATCCAGCCCCTCCCCTGTCACGGCAGAGAGCCGTGACAGGATCGAGAGGTGGGCGAACGCCTGTATATGTTCGCTCACCTCCCGATCTACTGAGCCGACCTGTGACAGTCTCATTGTCACAGGTCGGCTAGAACTATGAGGTGAGTGAAAAGCACTCGCCTCATAGTTCTCCTTTAAGGCAGCCTATTCATTTTGAATCCATGTATTTGCAGGCTAATGAGAGCACCAAGCAATCGTCCATTGAATGTTTGGCATTCTCATTAGACTGTATATACATGGATTCTCAACTCTGTGTTTTCCCACTTTTTTGGGGTGTCTACATTTTGTGGAGTGCTGCCAAACCAGAGCTAGCGTGCCCATTGATAATTCCACTGACCTTTTGAAATTCTGTGTAAAATGACTTATTTTAACTTTTATTAATTTTGAATGGTCTGGCACCTCACCTCAATAAACATAAATGTACAGAAATCAACTATCCTTGTCAGCATGTGAGCTAAGTATGACCATTCGCTCAACTTTCAAAGTAGCTTTTTTGTCTTGACTAAATTGTAGACAACATAAGTCATTAAAAGGAAGTAAACAATTAAACCAAAATGGAACTTGGATTGTAAAACTGATTTTCAGATGTGATTTGGGTCTTGGAACAGAAAGTTTAGGAGCCCTTGTGTCTCTATTACAAATTCATAAAAAAGATGTTATCTGTAACGGAGGTCAGGACAAAATCTCACTGTTCACTTTACATAAGGAAAGAGTCTCTGTCTCTCTCTCTTTCTCTTACTCACCATTTCCCAATTCCCATGAAATGTTGTACTTCTTGCTGGCGCTGTATTTTAGTAAACTGAGCACGCTGGAGCTGTTCCAAGAATTATCTGAGTTTCGCCGAAGAGCATTAAGTCCAAAAATCAGATGAAGTCCAGAGCAGTCAACAAAGTTATAGAGTTTGTCAAGAGACCTGGCTGGGAGGAAACAAAAAGCTTGTAACGCATACTAGCATTTCAATACAAAAACCCAACAGCAATTTACCAGACATGATAAGGAGATTAAATGCATTAGCTCTGGGTTTGCTCCTGTTAATGTCTTAGACTCATGAACTTATGTATTTATTGGGCCTTGCACAGTAAATGGTATTCCAGTAATGTGATGTGTTGAGTCCAGTATATATATGCTAAGGGGCCATCTTCCCTGTTCAGAAGAGATACATTGGCCTTGTAAATGTAATGCAGTACTTTATATTCTGCTATAATTTTCTCTGTAAACACCACACGGTCTCAAACAGTGCACAACTAATATGGTAGGTCAGTCTTGAGCTGGATAATGAAACCAGTGGGTTGAGGCTGCAAAGGAAAGAAGATAACCTTCATTTAGAGTCATCAGTAATGTGTAATCCACAGCACTCCTGAGCGGAATCCCATAAGATACATGGGTGTGCGTCACTGTGTTTGCCCGATGAAGGGGCCATGTTCGGTCACCAAAACATTGATTTTACACTGTGCCACCATGTCTGTATAACATCTGAATAAAAGAGACGTTCAGCACACTGGACCTTGGAGTGAGGGTGACTTCTTTTGAACCTTCATTTAGAGGCACTCTTCATGTTTGTAGAAATAAAACAAAAAAGACCAGAGCACAGAATGTAAGGAAATCTTTATATTTTAAAATAGATCTAAACCTTATGACTAAAATTTCATATGATATGTAATTTCAAGAATAAATTAATCATTTTAAATCTTCAGGTTTCATTCAAACAGCACCTGCCATGAAGGTCCTTGTTTAGGCACTTCCTGTTATGGAGTGATACTGCACAGCCCCGTCTTCTAATTGTTCTCCGCTGTGGTCACTGTTTCATATTGGCTTCCAGTTAAAGTGACACTAAACTCAGGATTTAAATGTTAAAAATGCATTCACATACATTAACTATTAACAAAAATGTATCTTATTTGTGTATCACTCAGCTGTAGATTCTCAAATTATCTCTGAATTGGTGCTGAAGCTGTCCTTCCAATGCTAATATAATGGTGATTATGTATATAATAGATGGATTATTATTATTATACAGGATTTATATAGCGCCAAGAGTTTGTGCAGCGCTTTACAATATAAGGAAGACATTACAATTACAATACAATTCAAGACAAGATGGTAAGGAGGGCCCTGTCCATGAGAGCTTACAATCTAAAAGGGAGGGGCAAGTGATACATGAGGAGGTAGCTGTGTAGGGAAGAATAGTATGAGAACGTGATGGTTCAGTTAGGTTGAGGTGGGAGAGGCTTCGCTGAAGAGATGAGTCTTAAGGGATCGCCTAAAGGCAGTCAGAGGGGGAGATAAACGGACAGGTGGGGGTAAGGAGTTCCAAAGAATGGGGGATACTCTAGAGAAGTCCTGGAGGTGAGCATGGAAAGAGTTGAGGAGGGAGCTAGAGAGCAGGAGGTCTTGGGAGGAGCGGAGAGGATGGTTAGGGTGATACTTTGACACAAGGTTGGAGATGTAGCCTGGGGCAGAGTTGTGAATGGCTTTGTAAGTGGTTGTTAATATTTAGAATTCTATCCTTTGGGCAATTGGAAGCCAGTGCAGGGATTGACAGAGAGGGGTTGCAGATACTGAGCAGTTGGTGAGGTGGATAAATTAAGTGGATAATATACAGGTGAAACTCGAATAATTAGAATATCGTGCAAAGTTCATTTATTTCACTAATGCAACTTAAAAGGTGAAACTAATATATGAGATAGACTCATTACATGCAAAGCAAGATAATTCAAGCCGTGATTTGTCATAATTGTGATGGTTATGGCTTACAGCTCATGAAAACCCCAAGAACCCCAAATCCACAACCTCAAAAAAGTAGATTATTACATGCAATCAATAAAACAAGGATTTTACATAGAACAATATCGGACCTCTGAAAAGTACAAGCATGCATATGTACTCAGTACTTGGTTTGGGCCCCTTTTGCAGCACTTACTGCAATTACTTTTGCACGATATTCTAATTATTCGAGTTTCACCTGTATATTTGTCTAATGATGCAGAGCATCCATCCCTTCAATTGGCGTGAAACGCGTAGAGGAGTAGCTACCTTGTGATTATACCTGGACCTCAATCTACAGAAGACTACATATGAACCTAAGTAGTAATTTATGCTATAAATAGGCCGGTATCTAATTCCTAGGTAGTTCATTGTGGATGCCAATAGGGATGCTCAGAGTATAAGGATGGGCACTTTTATGTATTTTAAACATGATTTTGCAACAAATGTTTTTAGTAATGTATGAATAAACAATATTTTTATCTAATTGAATTATATTTGGTGTCTTTGGTACCTTTAAAGCCCATTGTTTCTTTGTAAACATTGTAATCTGCTTTACCTCAATGGACAAGGTCACGCGATTCATTTAAGGAATGGAAATAAATTGCTGTCTGATGTACCCAGCAGTATAGAACAGACCTCAATAGTAGTGCTTTCTTTAAAATATTCATGATGTAAAATGTCTACGCCATGTTGTACTTCCTGATATTTTCTGCATTAAAATGCAAATAGAATAAACATCTATAAATTGTTTTGATATCTTTTTGAATGCCTAGGCTATGTATACAGCAGGGAGTTGCTGCTGTTTTTAATCACTTCTCTCTGTATGTATAATTTTTCTAAACTGCACAATGTGTTTTCTTTCCTGGTTTCCAAAAGTAAAATACTAGCGATCCATGGACATTTTTATGTTACTCTGTGAAAAATTAGTTATTATTTAATGGTGTCTCATCTCCGTTATCTTTCGTAAACAGAACTAGACTGTCATCTGGATTACATCTCCTCCAGACTGCTGACACCTGATACATTAAAGGGCTATGTGAACATCAAAATCGGGGCTGATACAGTCCAGCACTCCCTTTATCACCACTTACACCATCTCCAAAAGATTATGAGTGGACATAAATTATGTCTATAATACTGTAAAAATTTACACTTACTGCATATATAAGCACTTTAGATGTGGAGAGGCTGTGCTCTATAGATAAATGCTCCTCCAGTTTGGCAGCCAGGAAGAGAGCTAGACACTGACTGCTTCACATCATATTAAAGATACTGTGTAAACAATACAAACAGACTAAGCTTATAAATATGATTTAGACACTAAAAGATAAATTTTCCTGATGTATGGATCTACCTATTTTGTAACAAAAACACAGCTGGGGACGCTGTCATAGGGATCACTTATCTCCATAGGAAACACCGTTACTAAAATTATGATTGCTTTAGAAACACATGGATCGAACAATAAGCAACAATGTTTAAAGTGACACTAAACTGAGGAGTTAAATCGTATAAATGCATTCAAGAACCTTAACGATCAACAACAATGTATCTTATTTGTGTATCACTCGGCTGTAGATCCTCAAATCATCTCTGAATTGGTGCTTACACTGTCCTTCCTTTGGGAGGGTGGCTACTTTTGTTCCCCATGGTCCCTATGTGTGTTGTAAAGTAGTCACCGCTCCAAGCTTGCTCCTGTGATGGACTACAATCTCAATACAAATCAGTAAACTAAACATGATGTTCCTCTGCCCAGCTGGAGCCCTGAACACACTCCAGCACCCTCCTCATGAGGGATGCACACACGTGCACAATCAGGTGCTGGCTGCCACTGAAGCATGGACCCAGGAATGGAGATTTCATCCCACCCAGAGCTCTAAGAAATCTCCTGGATCCCAACTATGATCCAGAAAACCTGGAAAGGACTGAGAAGCCAGCTCTTTCCTGGTACAAGCAATTGCTTCCCCCCTCTGGCTGAGAATCCTGGGTGACTTTTAGGCCACCTAACACCGTGGTATTGCCACGCAATGCCACACAGGGTGGCAGAAATAAGTCAAGTATCATAAATAAAGGAAAGTTAATTAAAGTAGATAGAAAGCCTGTAGGTAATTAAAGTAAATGAATGACTTGTAGTTTGCTAAAGCACTGTGTATCACAAATAATTGCCTCTTTTTTAATAACAAACTTGTTTTTCCCCTTTTTCATCCTTTGTTGTATTTCATCACTACTGATCTCCTGTAGCCTCTTTGCATTTACTTTCTGTCTACATGCACTACGGGAATAGCTGCATTGTAATTCACAGCAAAAACAGAAAAAACATAAACAGCGCTCTCGGATGGGAAAAAAAGTTAGCTTGAAGACATGTATGCAGCCCTGGGAAACAGGAGGAGAACCTGTGAATGCAGATAATCAAAAAACCAAAAAAGGCGCAAAAAACACTGGCTGGCTAAAGAATGGATAATGGAAACTAAGTGGTGGCACTTACGCGTGAATCCCAGGATCTGGAGATGGGCGGCCGATGTGGAGGATCGGAGCACTCGTGGTGTGGGTCCGACTGTGGCTGGTGTACTAATCAGAGAGGTACATCCACGGAAGGGTGTGAACAAGAAGAGGGGACTTTGTCCGAAGTGCCGTTGGGGGTATGTGCGGTGTGGAGGAGAAGCAGGGAGATCCCTGTGGTGTCGGCAATAGACAGTAGGCAATAGACAGGGCTGTAGCAGCCGCGGCTGTGGGTGTCAGCGAACGGTCACTGTCAGGTCTGCTAGGGACAGTGTACGGGAGTCTGTGTGCGGGAGCAGCTGACAAATGCCGAAAGGTCGGATCAATGGTGAGATGGAGAGGGATCAAAGAGGACAAGAGCAGCGCGTTTCGAGGTACTACCTCTTTTTCAAGCTCAGGTAAAACAGCTTACTGTTTTACCCGAGCTGCCCATCTCCAGATCCTGGGATTCACGCGTAAGTGCCACCATCTTTAGTTTCCAGTATACCTTATTTAGCCAGCCAGTGTTTTTTGCGCCCTTTTTTGGTTTTTTGATTACTTGTAATTCACAGCGCAGGTCTACGAAGGTAGATGATGCCTGCGTAAATTGTGTTCAAAAAGCCACTTATAGTCCCCACTGGACTGCATGTTTAATAGGGTGACAACACAGAAA